CATACAGTTCCCGGAGACCTTGACAGCACTCCTCACAGGGGAGGAGCTGCCTTATGGATCATTTGGAAAAGAAGATACCAGCTCACAATAGAAGGCCATCCAATGCCAATTCCAGAAGCGAGGGAGTGCCTTAGGACTTTGCTGGAAACTGAAATAAAGGCCCAATGGTGGAGAGTAAGACAGAAGATGCAGCGAGACCCAGAGGAAGCCAAGAATATCCAGAACCGTTTCCAACGCTCGAGCCTAGGGCCCTGGAAGCTTGCTGCCATAGAGGGACAACGATTAATCTTACACCTCTCCAACAGTTAGGACAACATATGGAAACGAGAGGAAGGGGGGCTAAAGGGGGTAGGCCAGGGGCTCCAGACATTTGAGATCTTGTTCCTGTATTGCGGTCGGTCACTCCCTCATCCGAATCTCAGTTTTGACTCGAAGAAGAAGAAAGGATAGGACACAACAGGAGGTAGGGTTTAGGGTTTAGAAGCTAAGGATGCCTAGGGTTTCAAGAGGGGGCAAGGGGATACCGCTGAAGGTGAAGGGTAGACATTAGTCTGGTTACATTTTCAGGGGCGGCAGTAACATAAGTTTTTGCCTTTTATTGCTGTTTGTGCTTTATTTGTCCAGTTTTATCTTCGTTGAAGCTGCAGATACTGCGACGCTGGACCCGGTTTCCAGCACAAGCCACAACTTGGGTAATGGCCCCAGCACTGTCCGGGTTGAGATGTTGAGGAATTTGCGGCCTCACTGATGTTTCATATAATAAAACTGCAGCTCTTAAAAAAAAAAAAAAAAAAAAAAAAAAAAAGAGGTACCCCAAAGGAAGCCAAAGTAAAGTTAGCGAAGAAAGGAATGTACAAGGAAAATGCAATACAACGGATTTACTGTGTTTCATCTTGTACTATAGAGGCAAAACTGTTTCAATGTTGGATTTGCTCATCTTTAGTTTGCTGCGCTATAGAGGTAAAAAACTGCTTCAGTTTCCGATCAGCTCATCTGGGTGAAAAAGGGGCTGTTGTGGTGATAATCCACAACACACACGCACACCCACACACCCACATGCACACACACACACACACACACACACACACACACACACACACACACACACACACACACACACACNCACACACACACACACACACACACACACACACACACACACACACAGAGGGAGCGCAATCAGACATCACATTATATATTACAGCAGCCATGGCGATAGCGCGCACCTCAAGTGGTGGTCCCAGTGACTGGCTAGTGGGCAAGCATGGGACAAAGATCTCTATGGCGTTGTTGAAGGCGTGGCCTGAAATATACTCCACATGGCGCGAGTTCGGATGCCTGAATGACGAGGCACGAACCACCAGCTTCGGTTTGGGAATCTTCCACTTGGGCGGGCGCCAATTGCTCTGTGCCCATGATTTCCTATTACTCCGACCTGCATCTCCTTCTTGTGCGACACGTGGAGATGATCGACCTGCATCTTTCCTCCTGCTTGCCGGTAACCCATTCATCTACCAATCAATCAATCAAATCCAATTGATCAATCAATCAATCAATCAATCAATCAATCAATCAATCAAGTAGTCGAACCATCAATCAATTTCTCTTGTTTCCACAGATACGAGGCTACTCTCCGCAATGGTGCAAGCATTACAATCAATCAGTAACCAGCTTCCTCTGAATAGAAAGAAGTGTCATTATAGCTGTACTAGATGACCCGTTGCCGCTCCGCACGCTAAACAGAAAAGGGAAAAAGCACAGAAGAAATAAAAAGCATAAGGAACTGCCCTGTCATATGCCCCTTCTTTCACAATAAGAAAATGAAGAGCCTGAGAGCAGACGAAAACCTGCGTGCAAGAAAATAGGAGGGAATACCACCGAACCTTTTTTTAAAATCTTTGAGTGTTTTGATTGGGGAGCCGTTACCTTTGCAGCATCGCTTTTGTTTTGTGCTGTGCAACAACTCTGGACTTTTCTGAGAAAATCCTGTCCGTTGTCCCCGTTGATGTTTTTGCTAAAGATTCAGATTCAGACTTTGTTTGCTGTGTTCTGTGAATATGTTTGTGATCAACCGATCTTGCATGTATGCCCCTTTGTTTGCTTACTTGTTGAGTTTTGACGCTATGTGTGCAAGTGCAAGCGCGTGCGGGTGAGGCTCAGTTTGGTGGGCTCGGATGATGTCATTGATGATTGGCCTGGGAAAGGTGTTGGACGTCGCCTCCAACTATAGGAGTGCCACTGATGTTAAGCAGGTTTTGCATTGTATGAATGAAGTTGGGGGACTTCTCGGGAGTAGCATTGACATGAGAGCCATAATGCCGGGCGTGCATCTTGGAAAATTTCCTGGAAGGCAAAAGGCAAGGAAGAAACGAAGTAGCACGTGTCAGAGTCACATAATGGACAGCTTGGAACATTTGCCCCCCTTCTCTCTCTCTCTCTCTCTCTCTCTCTCTCTCTCTCTCTCTCTCTCTCTCTCTCTCTCTCTCTCTCTCTCTCTCTC